AGCGGCCCGGGGAGGGCGGGAGCACCGTGGCCAGCGCCCGGGACAGGTGCCTGGGACGGGTGGTGGGCAGGCCCTTCCCGAGCGCCCCCTCTGCGCAGGAGGGAGGCCGCGTCTGGAGAGGGTGGCGAGGCTAGGCCTACCCTACACCCCCAAGGCCCCAGCTCCGGGGGCCGCGCAGGAGCTTCGGCGCTTTAATGGAATCTCTGCAGTGGCAGCGCACGTGGATGGAGGGCTGGGGGATGGCCCTGCACACGTGCGGAGGCGGCGAGGGGGCTTCCTCCCAGCACTGGGGTGGGGGTAAGAAGGCTCCTGGACAGCCAGCACTCTAGCTTAGAGGGGCGGGGTCCACTAACAGGACGGGAAACAGGCTGAGTTTAGGAGCAAGAAGTGGTGGGAGGTAGATCTCCAACACACCTGCCCACCGGGACAGCTAGGTGCCTACCTCCCCAGAGATGAGGGGCCAGTTCAGGGGAGGTGGGGAATCTGGGGCCACTGTGGCTGATGGATGTGGACTGGACTTGGGGAAGCTGCGGTGGGTGACAGCCAGCCCTGCTAACCCCCACAAGTTTGCTCCCCCAGTCTGCTAGGCACCCACTGCCCCTTGGCCTCTTGGCTACTAATGGGGGGGACCACCATGCGCTTGCAGGTGGACTGCTACAGTGGAGGGATGAACTCCAGGTCAGCCAGGGCTGGGTCCACTGCTATGGACAGCAAGGGAAAGGGTGTCTGTAGCGGCCAAGGACTGTTGCCTGGTGGGAGATGCCTGCCTTGCCTGGCCTGGGCTCCATCCAGCATGGCCATGCTGGGTGAGGGGTTGGCCTTCCTCCACCCCTCCATTCATCTGTCTAGCAGAAGCCATCTCGTGCTCTCTGGGGGCCTGGGCAGGGGGTTGTGGGATCCCACTTGAATGCATCCCTGGTGTGTGCCTCTGAGGCCGTGGACAGGGTTGGGCAACCACCCCATGTGTTGTTCTTCATGATACAGACTGTGGGTGCGCATCTGTCAAGGGCAGGCGGTGCAGGTGGGTTCATGCCTCTGAGACTCCTATCCAGACCCCCACCAGTTGTGACTTGCTGTGATTCCTCAGTCCCCTCCTCCCACCATTCCCACATGTACCCCCAGAGGCTGTTGTGGGCTTTTGCCCAGGTGGTGGTCCCTCTGTGTCTCATCCCACATCTCATTTTTCTGTGCCCACCCCCTCACCTTGGATCTGGTCACAAAGATGGGCACTTTCCCACCTGTCCCATGGCCTGGACACCCCAGGTCCTTCCTGTTTCCAGATGAGGAAGCTGAGCCCTGGTATGTGATGGGTCCAGGGCCCTCTAGCTCTGGGCCTCTGGGGACCCTCTTGAGAGCAGTGGCAGGTGATTGGGTCCACCTTTCTGGGGTACTGGTCACTGTAGCCCCTGACTTGGAACCCTGGGCCAGCCTCCCACCACCTCCTACCACAGATTCAAGGGAATTCATGGGAAACCCCAGGCATGGACAACAGCCCCTTCCTGAACCAGGCTCAGGGATTATGGACCAGGAGCACCACAGGACAGATTGGGACCCTGGAAGGTGGTGGGAGGCTGGGCAGCTGTCCCAGCGAGAGAGGCAAGGATGAGGCCAGGGCCGAGGAAGCTTGATGAGACAGTTCAGGACTTGGCAGGCTCTGGGATGTGCTGGAGGGCTGCGGGTGTGTTGATGTCTGGGGTACCGGGGGAATGTGGGCTGCAGGGCCGGGGTCTCTAAGAGTAGGCTGACCTGCGTAGGTGGACATGGGACATGGGTTCCTAGAGCAGGGCCTTGAGGCCAGCTGAGAATCCAGGCACCCTGGTCAGTGGCCTCTGCTGAGCACCGACTGTGTGCTGGTGGTCAGTCAGTGACCCCACGTACCCACCCTGGGGGTGTTGTGTAGGCACAAGCCGTGGGTCGACCTTGGGGCTCCTTCTATCCTAGGCCTTGGTTCCCTCATCTGCCAGCTCTGAGACTCCCATAGCGGACACCTGGGTGGGTGGTTAAGGGAGTCTGGACATGTGGGGAGAAGACAGGATCACGGGGATATGTGTACCAGGTGCTGTCAGGAGAGCCTGCAGGTTGACATGCTTAGGCCCATGGGCTGGGCCAGGTGCTCACATACATGTGTGTATGTGCACATGCATGTCCAGGGCCCTGTCTGCACATGTGTGCCCAGGCATGTGTAACGGGGGCCGAGCCTCCCTGTGATCACTGGCTGACTCACGCTCCCGACTGCCTGCCTGCCCGCCTGCCCACCCGCCCTGGTGAAGTCATCGCCATTTTTAGCTCCCTGAGGTCATTTGCCAGTGGGGGCTCTTAGGACCTTGGGATCCCGCTGCTTGAGCTGGGTGCTGGTGTGTGATGCTGCAGGGTTGCCAGGCCTTTTTGGGCCCCTGGCTCTCCTTGACCCCATCCTCACGTCCCCCTGACTCTTCACTGGAGCACAGGCAGGGGTGAGAGGCAGCAGCCAGGCTCCTGTGGCACTGAGATCTGAAATGTGCCCCCAAGCCCCAGCAGCCCACCACCTGGCTAAGGGTAGGGGCTCTTCTCTGAAAGTGTTAATGTATGCAAATGTAGGCACAACTGCTAAAGGGCCTAGCCCACTGGACAGCTTGGTCCCTTCCCATCAGTCCTGCTCCCTGCCCACCTCTAACTGTAACCTACGGTCGCGTCGTACGTCGCTGGCGACAGGCGTACGTACGTCGTCCGTCCGTCCGACCCAACCTTACGTTCGCCCCTACCCGG